TTTAATTGGAAATAAATTATGCTTTCAAAAATATATGACCAAATTTAAATATAACTTCATTTAAAAACAAATTATTACCTAAATATTAGCAATATTTTCTATTCCTGCTAAAATCACTGTGACCAGTGGATTTGTAATGTAACTCACTTATTACTCAAGACAGTTATCCCTTATGTTTTTATGAATGAGGGTCTTAAGGTATTAAGGGATAGTAATTAAGATTTTTCCGTAGTATTAATATTGTCCCAGAGAAGACTCTCCACTTGGTAGTTGGACCAAACCAGTAATATTATTATTCACTAATAGTCAATATTAATATTAATATTAATAGTCAAAAGAAGATGTATCTTTCTGGGTGTATGAACACACATACTTTCCTCCCATCCCCACAACATATGCACTTTCCAACACACATAGCCACAGACTTCCACCACACTTTTTTGTCATTCATTTTTTTTGTTTTCTTTTGAAATATTTTCAGATTTACACAGAAGTTGCAAATCCCTTCACCCAGAGACTCCACTCAAATTTCACTAATTGTTCCAATAATATCTTTTGTAGCAAAAAGATCCAGTCCTGGAACATGCTTTGCACTTAGTTGTTGTGTCATTTGAGTCTCCATCAAACCAGAATAAGTTCTTTCTTGACCTTCATGACCTTGACTCATGTCTGTGATTTTCTAGAATGTTCCTGAATTGGTTTGTCTGGGGTTTCCTCATGATTGGATTTAGGCTCTTCATTTTTGGCTGCAGTATCATAGCAGTGATGCTGTGTTCTTCTTACTGCATCTCATGAGGTGGTAAGCGACATCGATTTGTCATGTCACTAGTGATGTTAACTTTGGTCATTTGAGTAAGGTAGTATTTGCCAGGTTTCTTTAGTAGAAAGTTACTATTTTCCCCTTTACAATTGATAAGTGTTTTGTGGGAAGAGACTTGGAGCCTGTGTAAATATTTTTTTCTCATCTAAATTTCATCCACTAGTTTTAGCATTCATTTTTGTTTCTTGCCTGAATTATTATTTAAATGATCACCAAATGGTGATTTCTAATTTAAGTATTCTTCTACATTTATGTTACCATTCTGTAAGGAAAATTTTTCTCTTCTCCTCACTTATTTATTCATTCATTTATTTATATCACTGTGGGCTGATGGATTCTTATTTTATTCAATGAGATATAAAATAGCACTATCATTATTTGTTTGGTAATCAAATTGTCTCAGAATTGGCAAGGGGAAGCCCCATCAAACTGGCTTCTGAAACACCCCCATCATCCTTTGAGCACATTTTTACTATTTGGTATAACAAGACACTCCAGACTCATTCTTGTACTTTCTGTGCCAGCCTGGAATCAACTATTTCTTTGAGATGCCCTGGTTTCTGGTATTTAGAAGCCAAGATGTGGACACTTGATGTGTTCCATGCTACTGAGGTATTGTTGCTCCCAAACCCTCTCAGGGAACAGAGTTATGAAATATATCTAGGTATGTATTTTAAAACACACAAACTTTTACTTCTATATTCATTCATCTATCTATCCATCCATCTATCTATCTATCTATCTATCTATCTATCTATCTATCTATCTATCTACGTAAAAGCATAAATTCACACTGATACATTCAATTCCAAACAAACACCATAGAATTCGTTCTAGCTTTTCTCCTTTTCAAATTTTTAACTCCCTTTTCAGGCAGTGAAGAATATGGCTGCAATTAGCCTCAATGTATTTATTTATTTGTTCAGTCTACCTGTAAGTAACAGTCTCCTAACACTTCTCTTGGCCACGTACCTCATGCAGGCCCCCATCATAAATTCTTACTGCCATATCAGCTAAACCATTGGCCTTTGGTGTAAATACTTTCCCCATGTTTGTTAGTTCATTTCCCTTCTCTCTGTCTATCTCTCTGCACATACATACACACACACGCACACACACACACACACACACACACGCATATGTATAAAACATTGGCAATTTAATGAATAGGAAAACACTGTTTTACCCCATGGATGAGATATAATCATAAACTGATCTGATATGAATTAAATGGACTGTATCTTCAATTAGTAAACAAGTTAAAGATTGTAGTGGTAGAAACACCTATTAGTTGCTGCTTTTAGGATGTAATTGTTCTTCAAATGACTGTAATATTTATATATGTTACTTCTTCCTTATTAAGAATCATCTACAGGATTACCTCCAATACATTTTTTTAAATACTCTAAATTCAGTGATGGGTTTTGCAACTTTTGAAAAAATGTGTATGAGGGGCCGGCCCGGTGGCATAAGCGGTTAAGTGCACACGCTCCGCTGCGGCGGCCCGGGGTTCACGGGTTCGGATCCCGGGCGCGCACCGACACACTGCTTGTCAGACCATGCTGTGGCGGCGTCCCATATAAAGTGGAGGAAGATGGGCAAGGATGTTAGCCCAGGGCCAGTCTCCCTCAGCAAAAGGAGGAGGATTGGCAGATGTTAGCTCAGGGCAGATCTTCCTCACAAAAAAACAAAAAAAAAGAAAATTGCCTTTGGGCAAAACCACATTTTTTTTTTGTGAGTAAGATCGGTCCTGAGCTAACATCTGCCAATCCTCCTCCTTTTGCTGAGGGAGACTGGCCCTGGGCTAACATCCTTGCCCATCTTCCTCCACTTTATATGGGACGCCGCCACAGCATGGTCTGACAAGCAGTGTGTCGGTGCGCGCCCGGGATCCGAACCCGTGAACCCCGGGCCGCCGCAGCGGAGCGTGTGCACTTAACCGCTTATGCCACCGGGCCAGCCCCGCAAATTTCTTTTTTTATAGAAATATCTGAAAGCACAAGAGATTCACATGATGCAAGGAAGATAAAAACCATATCAACAAATAATAACAAAGGTTTGCAGTGTGTTTGCATAAGGCATATAGCCTGCAAATAACTAAGCCAAACCTTTACGTTAGCAGAGAACTCTGTCTATATATCTGCTGAAAAAACGTATTGAAATGCACGAGTTGCTAGACAACACATGGCATTGCCATATTGTTGTCAAAATGTGAGGTACGGCTCTGTAAGGAGTTTGCTCGCCGGCTATGACTTCACTATTGCTCTGTGATAGAGTTGTTGTTCAGTGGTTAAATTGCTCTATTCTGTGCTCCAGTATTTGCATTTACATTAGAGACCACGGGGTGAAGGATGCGTCTTATTAGTGAAGCATCTAGGTTGATTCTTCATTGCTCTGTAGCTTGTATCATGATTATGAGAAAGTTTAAGCTCTGATACTGACACACTTCGACATATTTATGAGGCCTTCTTCTTTTGTGTTTACTTCTCAAGATTCTTTATGAAACTGATGGCCCCAGAGAGAGAGCACATCCTAAAAAACTGTAGGAGCACAATTAACTCTAGAAGGGTGATTGATGGCTAGGCTCTTAAAAGCTGCTCTCTCCTGCCAAGATGCCTCCGTCTCTGCTCCTAGTCACAGGGCCGTGTCTACCTTTCAGACAGACTAGCGATCAGAATATGGGGATTTTATACGTGATGGTTCAGCCCGTTAATTCAAAGAGTATAATAGATCTTTGAAATGTTTGGATTGAACTTTTGGACAAATGGCCTGTGGCCTCAAGTATGTTTTGCTGAGGGACAAATCTGAATCTCTCAGGCTGTGGGGTTTGCATGTGGGACCTGCGGCTCACTCACTAGTGAATCAGCTTAGCTGACTCTCCTGAGTTTGCAGCTCAGCGCAGTGGTATCCCTCCCTTCTGTTCTTATAGTCACAGTCACATGGAAAAGTATATTCTTAGTGGTATTCTCAAATTTCAGCATTCGTGAAGCTCTTCCATCATATCGCTTGTTAAGGTTGCGGGTCCAACACTATAACACTTTCTCTACTCTTATAATTCCAGCAGTATTTTTGAATAGGTGGATTACAGTTACATTGAAACCGTTGATAAATTGTGATGTGGCCTTCTAGTTAGTGGCTAAGCATTGCTTTTTCTTTCTTCCTTTCTCCCTCCCTCCCTTCTTCCTTCTTCCTTCCTTTCTTTTGTTTAACAAGGCTCTTGATCTCAAACCTGTGGTTTTATATTCCACAGAATCTTTTATTATCAGAATCTTTTACTGTCATTCTTTCAGGGCAATATTTTCTTTATGCTGCAATCAATCCTCGGCGTATATATTTCAATTTTAAAGAATCATGTATATTATTTTACATTACAGTCGTGTGTCACTTAACAACGGGGATATGTTCTGAGAAATGCATCATTAGGTGGTTTCTTCGTGTGTGAACGTCATAGAGTGTACTTACACAAACCTAGATGGTGTAGCCCACTACACACCTAGGCTGTACGGTGCTAATCTCATGGGACCACCGTCGTATACGCAGTTCATCGTTGACTGAAACGTCATTATGCCGTGCGTGACTGTAGTTCAGTACTTTCATCTCTGTTCTTGTTTGGTACTACTTTGGCTTCTATTTTCATTGCCATATTTAACTGCAGCACTAGTTAGCTGTGTTATAATAATAGAACCATAGTCAGAAAGACCTGAGCTGAGACTCAGCTCTGAAACTACTAGCTGTGTCTGCACGTACTTAAAACTGAGGGTTAATAGTACCTATTTCACCAGTTTATTGTACATATTGAAAGAAATAATGTATTACAGTGCTCATCCCAAACCAGGCATACAGTAAAGATGGATAAATGTTAGAAAATAAATTCCGCTAGGCAGGGATCTTTGACTCATGTTCACAAGCACCTAATACAGTGCCTGGCACACAGTAAGTACTCAATAAACAAGTGTCAGCTGTTGCATTGTTCTTAGGCTACTATGGCTGTCATACCAATGCTTGGAAAATTAAAGGTAAATGATGTGCATGTGAAGCACATAATAAAGGGTCTGACACAAAGTAGGTGATTTAGCTAGAATCGTATTTTTAGAGACATATCATCAGGCAAATGATTGGTTAGTGTTCTTGGGAAAATATCTTCGGAAAGGCTAAAGGTCTTTTGTTTTGTCCTTCTCAGGCATCCTGTTTTCTCTGGTGGTGATGCTGTATGTCATCTGGGTCCAGGCGGTGGCTGACATGGAAAGCTACAAAAACATGAAAATGAGAGACTGCGTGGATTTCACCCCTTCTGTTCTGTACGGCTGGTCATTTTTCCTGGCCCCAGCGGGGATATTTTTTTCTTTGCTAGCTGGGTTACTATTTCTAGTTGTTGGCCGGCATATTCAGATACATCACTAATCCAACTGTTGCCACCAGTGCTTTCTCGGGGGATTTTAAAACGGAGCGTATATTCTTTCGTTTTGTTTTAGTCATCCCAGGGTCAAATTAGTTAATCTAACTTTTTAGCTGATATTTGAATTAACCATTTTACTTGCAATTTCCTCTAATAAGGTCCTAGACACTCTCCAGACACCAACATGCTTCCATCTTTTCTAAGTGCTATCAAGAACCTAGTTCTCTAGGGAGCAGGTAACAGGGGCCTCTGTTTCATTGTACTTGGTGGAGTTCATGTAGGTTGCAAAGGCCTGGTGATCGCATAATACCATCACCTGGGGCCAATCAAGATTTGGTTTAAAGCCTCCTTGGCGTTCACTTCTGTTGCTCTTAAAAAAAATCTTTGGACAATAATTAAGAATAGAAAACAAATGTTTTCAGAGAATTTACTCCATTTCTTTTCTACACACATACATATCCACATACACACTCACTGACACCTGTGGGCAAATTATTCATTATTTAAAAATAGAGAGCAGTTGTTCTGGTAGCAGGAGCCATGCAAACTCATTAGTTAAAATGGGCCACAACAAAAGTGAGAACGTGTACTTATTCCACTTTCTAACCAACAGTCATTTGGCTACCTGATTTTATTCATTTAATTGTGCATGCTTACACAAACTTTAAACTATATTTGAAAGGGCAAATCTGTATACCAAATTACCTATAATGCAGATAGGATTTTTGTGAACTTAAAGTGGGTTAATTGTATATGTAATATGGTTGAAAATATGTAAAAACCAGGCACCTTAGCTTAGTACATAATTCTATTTGGTATTTTAAAATTCACATTTAAAATTATATTGTTGGGGGCCGGCCCCGTGGCGTAGCGGTTAAGTGTACGCATCCTGCTGCTGGCGGCCCGGGTTCAGATCCCGGGCTCACACTGACGCACCGCTTGTCAGGCCATGCTGTGGCAGTGTCCCACATAAAGTGGAGGAAGATGGGCAGGGATGTTAGCTCAGGGCCAGTCTTCCTCAGCAAGAAGAGGAGGATTGGCATGGATGTTAGCTCAGGGCTGATCTTCCTCAAAAATAAAATAAAATTAAATTAAATTAAAATAAAATAAAATAGTTAATATGTTCAGCATGTGAAAATTTATTGATGAAATGTGCTTTTAATATGCATTAGCTATAAACTTTCAAAATACTTCCATGTGAGGATGATAATATCCTTGCTTTATTAAAGACTATGAAATAATTAACTTTCCCAAGATTTCATGGGTTGTAGTTCTTCTGATCATTTGATTCTCTTAATTATTGTCCCTCAATTTTTTCATCTTTACAATAGGAATATTAACATTTACAGATCTGCTATTTCCTTTAACCTCTTGGAAGTAAACTTTTTGCAGGTGGGGGTGAGCAAGGGGACTGGGGGCGATAATTCTTTATTATTTACTAGTGTAGACATTTTGCATATCAAAGATGTTTGTTTGGCACTAATTTTGATTGAAATCAAATCCATCTGAGAAGCCTAGGTTGTATTTGCATTTTGGAAGCCTCCACCAAGGAGGAGTTTGGTGTTAGTGAAGGAACAGAGAACCCGCGTGGGAAGGGAGCTTTGTTCCAGTGGCAGCATTTTACTCTGCAGCTGTTGTGAATACCAAAGACAGGACTCAGAGGCAAATTAAGAGAGACCACATAGAAGATGCTGTGGGACAGAGGGACTGTTGCTTTCCATCAAGTTGTTCCTGTGATGGAGAGATTGCCCAAGTATTCTCTACACAGCCCATGCTTTCCATTAAACCTTATTTCAGTGGGGGAGAGTAGCAAAGGTATGAGGTATCTACAGAATCATGAGGGCATTGTAGTGTTAGGTGACAGGACTTGCATGTAATAATTAAAAGAAAAGACACAAAGCTTCAGGAGTGTAACTGGTTTCTCAAGCCATTTCAATAATATCGAAAATGATTTTGTGATACTTTCCTTTGTCTTTTTCTGTTTCATTTTTATATTGCTTCATTTATTCCTTTGTTTTTGGCTTGATTATTAGAAAAATAATTATGGGTTCTGTTATGCATATTAACTGTGATATTAAGTTGTGGCATGCCATTAAGTTTTTCCAGACGATGCTAGATGTATTTGATTAGTTCATGTCATCTGTAAATACAATTCCTTTTTGTAGAACTTTGGAATAGAGCCTTTATCTGATGTATTATATGTCATTTAAATTTCACATACAAGCTGCTTTCAGTAAAGGTTTGAATATTTATAAATTTCAGATGGTTATCCTCACTTTCTAATACACTTATGCGGCTACCATATATTTATCATAAGGCAATTGGCTGAATATCTGATGTGTATGACACTTTTACACAGATCCACACTTTAGAAGTATTTCATAGTAGTAAGGCATCAATCACATTAATTCAAACACGTTTCCTGATCTACTTACCAGCAATCCACGGAGGAAGGAAGGTGAGTTGTGTTTGCTATGTCAATGAGTAAAATATACTTAAAAACAGCAGAGATATACAATATATTCTTGTAACAGCCTTATATCTGATTTGGGATAGTGTGTTTCCTTTTATTTCTCTATTCGGTGTATTGATTAATTTTCAGAAGCTTCCAAAGTGCTAAAATCTCGAAGAGTGTTGATTTTGCATCATAAAGTTTCGATTTAACAAATAAGATATCTTTTTGGTGACCTTTCTAGAAAGAGTGAAATAAGAAGACGGTGAGTTATGCCCTTGGACTTGGGGGACAGCCGTGATCTCTCCACATTGTATTTGTTCAGTGGGTTTAGCTGAGTTGGGTGTCGGGTAGCACATGTGCTGAAGCTGGCTGGAAAAACCATGCAGAGAAGCTGAATGATGGCGTTCAGTGTAGGGGCGGAGGGGAGGACTTAAAAATGCTGTTAGGTGTGCTCTTACTGGTCACGTATTCACTTTTATGACTAATCTATGAGATATAATTATTGAATTTGAAGATTAAAAGTCCACTTATAAGGATATGTGATGGAGGGGGTGTCAGTATCTGGTAATTATCTATCCATCTGTCATTAAGACTTAACGTGTGTGTGTTGCAATGATAAGTTTGGGTAGAAAGAGATAAAGTGAATGATAGAAATCAATGTATTTGAGATAAGCAAATTTTAAATTTTAAAAATTTAAAATTTTAAAAAATCAGTTTCACCAGAGACAGTAATATAGCTATGTTTCCCCAAGTGCCACCTGAACAGTGTTACTCAATTTATGATGGTCTATTCAGTTCAACACATAATTTGATTCATATTATCATGAAAGTAACCAAATTAGGCTTACGAAGACTTAGAATGTCCGAAAGGTTTGGCAGATATGCGATGCTAGTGAAAACCAAGCTGGACATACGCCTGCAGGTGGCTAGCATTGTGGGGAAAGACCAGTAGTGCTGGGGTTATGTGGAGAGAAATATATTGATGAGTAAGAGGATGGGTCCCTAATTTAATTTTGATGGGACTCCACCAGGAATGAGGGGATCATACAAAAGAGATGAAATAGAAACTAAATTTTTGTTGCTTGTCTGAAGGAGTTAAATATATAGAGACATTTTCTCAATGAAAATCAAGTGTAGGTAGAGAAATTCCAACAAAAACTTAGGAAGACAGTATATTAGAAATGTTAAAAACTAAGGAGGGTGGGGAAATATGTAATATCATGCATATTATAATAAGCATAAACTAAGCAAAGGAACATTTAATGTGGTTAGCAGGAAAAGAAGAAGAAAAGAAAAATGTCCAGGCAGAGCTTAGAGTTTCTGAACTGTCTAACCAAGGCAGGGGATAGGAGCTCTATTTTCAAGAACATTAACATCAGCCTGGACCAGCCTGTGGGGGTAGGAAGTCTCTAGAGAACAAGTCTGAAATGACAGTGGACAAGTACTAAGAGTCCCACTCTGGCTTTGGAAAGGTCGTTTTTCCCATTAGTGTGTAGCTATGACTGTGAAAGGTTGAAGGGGCGATTGGACGGTTGAACTTTGTAAAATGATCTACCTATGGATATAAAGAATCATATGGGGTGTCTAATAATTCTATCCTGCATATATATGTAATTTGTCTATAAGGTATTGATAAGTAAGTAAATTGGAACCATTCTGAATTTTTCAAGTAATGATGATTTTTCTGGTTTGCACAAAGGACAAGGACAGTCTAAATTGTCTTTATGAAGTGGTTGGAGTCAGGGCATCCTGCACTGATCCTGAGTATTATGTAGTAATTTACAGGGGAGAGGACTTGCTGGGATAAAATAAGTACACACACAGCAAAAATTTTAATATTTTTTATATTCTCATTTTTCTGGGAGTCCAGGAGTTATGGTGACATAATTCACTGAAAATGTAGATGGTTCCCCCTTAATATGGTGATTCCTTTTTTCTTTTCTTAGCATTTATTTTTTCATTCGTTCTAAAAAGAGACTGCCACTGTTAAAAAATTCACCATTGTTTGCAGAGAACATTTGTATTGAAAACAATCTAAACAAATAGGTACTTAAACATTGTAGCTTAAAAAAGAGTGATACGTGAAGATTCATTCTTATTGCCTCATATTTTAGTATAGCATATACAAAGACACTATAAGAAATATTGATATATTGTCTTCACCCCCCCAAAAATACATTTTTTTTCTCAAGAACTTGATAGGTATATGTAAACATCTGGAGAGATGTCAAACACCAAGTTGGATTAACCTCCGCATGTGTGTGTATGTGTGTGTGTGTGTGTATATGTACACATATACCCATATACCTATGTGTGTTTATATGTATGTACATATTTGGTTTGTAGGCATATGTATATATGAATTTGGATAAAACTGCGTATATGTTTGTCAATAGATATACATCTGAATACACACAGGTATATATAATGTAGGCATATTTATAAAAATATTTTGTACATCTATAATGTATGGATGTCTATATATAAGAAATGTCCATATTTATATTATATGTGCATGTACACATATCCAAGTATCTGTCTCAGGCATACCTGAGTTCTTAAGGTTTGCTGAAAAGGAGAGCTCATTTTATCTTTATGCTATTGCATACTTGTCCTAGTGGTGAGTGAGGGGTTCAGAGGAAACTCGGTGCTATCATGGCCTCTCTTCCTTGAATCCAGGGCATATGTGGTGATGCGTGTGCAATGGACTGGTCATGTCTTATCCTATGAGTGCCCAATGGCAATGACCCTATCTTTGAACATCTTCTAGCAACTGATACCTAGCAATTGATAGCTGTTGATGAATATTTATTTAATAGTTATAAATTTTTTTTGAAAAAATAATTCTTTTCTAAAGCTGCATGCCTTGCTTAATACATTCATTTAATCCCTCTGTAGAAGATTAAGCCAACTGGATT